ATCACTATGTATTATTATTTCAGCCATGGAACAATTATATTGAACTGAATTTTGTTCGATTTCATTCATTTTCTTAATTCAGCATCAAGTTATTATTAACAACAAAAAATGCGAAGCCAAATAATTACTAATTCAATAATAATAAATTTCATTTTGAAAATACAATTTAAATCTGAACAAGTCATTTCTGTTTTCAAATTTAAGGCCTTCCATTTCATTATTTCTCATTTTTAACAAACAAGAATACACAACCAGATGATTCACAGTTCAAAAGGCAGCTTTTATATTCAGATAGATAAAAAAATTAGGACTCGGGATGAGAATTAGAAAATCAATCCAATGCTGGATTTGAATTTTTAATCACCCTTCCAGTTTTTCTTTTTTAACATTAGGTGAATCCAGTCCTGAACACTCAGATCAAAGTGATGCCAGCCACAACAAAGGCACAATTCTAGAAATTAATTACTAGATTTGATTCTAATTAGCTATTATAAAGAACATGCAACTACCTACAGACAGAGACAATTCTTGAATGAAGTCGAAAAATGTAAATGTTGGGTCCAAGAAAAGAACACGTAATACATTCAATCAATTTCACTCACAAACATCTGCATGTATGCATATTACTACTTACTTTGAGTCCATCGACGGAGAGGAGGCCACTAAGAATGCACTCCTTGAGGCCGGTACCCAGAACAATGACATCATATTGTTCATCCATGACGGTCGATGCACAGAAATATGAGAAATTTCTCAAAGAAAATAAAAAATCAAAAGATATTTAAAGAAAGAATGAATTGAGTGAGTATGGAGAATGAATGATGGATGAATATTAACGGTTTTGTCGTGGGGAAAGGAACGAGTCCTTGGCGCGGGTATGTATTTGCTGATTCATCGACTCCGCGATAATTTGGGAGTGCTAATTTTTAGTTAAAACTCTTAAATTGGATTTGGACCTCATTTTCTCTTTTTAACTTAGTTCGTGTTTGATTGGGATTATAATAAAATTTTAGTAAATTTTGATAAAAAAATAATAAAATGTATACTAATTTAAATGTTGTGGGATCACATAAAATATGTGTTTAAAATTAATCGTTGATTTTGACTTAACCTTGATTAACAACCATTAAAAGTGATTTTTGGGAGAAAAATGAGTTTTGGAATAGTATTTTTTGGAGAATGTATGATTAATAAATAAAGAAAATTTTGAATTTAGGTGTAAAATATATTGTTGTGAGAATATGTAATTGAAAATGAGTTCGAGGAAAAAAAATATTTTTTTTAGTGGTTGTAAGAAAGAAAAAAATAAATTTTAAATTTAAATCTAAATTTCAATTTCTATTAAATAGGGACTTAAAATTCTTTATTACATATGATTCATATCTATATATAAATGATCAAATTTCATTTTTGATCACATATATTCAATGGACTCACAAATACTTTTTACTCATTCATAACGTATTTCTATCCATTTATAAAATTAATCATTCATAAATTCTTTCTAAACAAAGGCTAAAAATTAAAACTATAAAGACTAATGGATTTATTAATGGCAAATTATTAAAAACATACAATTTGGTTGAAATATTAAGGATGTGTTTGATTGGTACGAAAATTATTTTTTAGAAAATAAAATATTTTTCTTATTTTGAGGAAAACAAAAACTTACCTCCCCAATTTTCTCAAATACAAGGAAAATTAGGCATATTTTTAAATATTTTCTAGGAAAAAATAGCAATCACACACTTTAAAAGTTAAAATTTGATTAAAAAAAGACCATTTTCCATGAAAAAATTTCCAATCAAACACACCCTAAGGTTTTACAAATTCACTTCATGACCTATTCAATATAACCTTAATCATAAGAGCATGATTGGTTTGTATTAAAATTTGATTTTAATCTAATTTAAAGTCAAACAATCAATATTAATCATATTTTTCATGGGTCTCATAAATTTCAACCACACATTTCAAAATTTCCTATTACTATCTACTAAAAGATTTGATTTTAAATTGGTACCACTCATTTTTAAGCTAATTATTAGCTTATTTTCTTAAAGAATTTGATGTGAAATCCCTTCTTAATGCATTCATTTTTAAATGTTGGAGCTTTGTTAATGAATTCCATATTATCTTACGGTGAAAATTTTAATGGTCGAACTTGACGCATAGGTATTATTCATATTGGATCATGTTAAATCACGTCGATCAACTTTTTTTTAGCAATCAAATTTTTTATCATTGAGTTAATTATTTTCCTAATTAAATCACTTTAGGTAGCATATTTTATTAATAACAAAAATAAATATAGTACGAACCCATCTAGCGACGGAGAATACAATGAAAGTTAAAGAACTACACTTTATACGTCCTAATCATGCTCCTCAACAGCATACGTAAAGTGTAATGCCTTTATGGCTCATATTCTTTTTCTAATACACTTCTTGAAATGGATTTTAAGTTATTATAACACTCCAATTTCAAGTAGTCCATAATTTCATCATCATCTCCATGAATATACTTAAAAGCGTCCCTGGCATATTCTCAAGTTCTGCTACAAGATCATGATTCAGGCGTAGAGACTAAGGGTTGAAGTCTTGAAGAAATTGCACTTTCAGCTTATTTCGTCTCTTTAAGTTTGAAGATCACCTCTTCCACTCTCATTGCTAAATGCTAATAGAATTTTGCAGAGTGGATAAAAAAGTTGATAATAAATCTACTAAATAATTAATTTTAATTACATAATTCATGAAAATTATAATTTTTATCAATTTATCAACTATATATTTTATCAACTTTTATCAAAATTTATTAAAAATTAACTGTTAAGTACACCAAACACTTTGCACCGACGTTTATTTAATCAATTTAAGCTTATAAAGTAATGTGAAATTCAACAGGATTTTAATGTTTTACACGTACTTTTATCATAAACAAATAATATGAAAACCATTTCTAGTGTTAGACATTATGTTGTCAAAAGACTTCCCGGGCGATGATGAGAACCAATTTTATCAGTCGACATGAATGACTGAACGATAATTCAACATCGAATAATGGATGAACTGACCAAACGTTGCTTTACCTATTGGACGGCTAATACTCTTTGTGGCTTGTTGATTCTTTCCATTGGAAGTTAACCCTAGTCGAGCCTACTTACCATATCCCAACTTACCTTATGTTGGCCACTTGACTTACTATATATATTGGTGTTTTCATCCTTGTTAACCCCGTCCAAAAATTGAAGCCGTGAGAAAAGAGAAACTGCCGTGTCCAGCCGAGTTCTTCTGCCTTCATCTTCTTCGTGATTTCTTCTCCACCCCAATTGCTTGAGACTTTGTGAACATTACCTGAGTGGTATCCATCCTAAGTGTGTGGATTAAATCAACAAAGCAAAGGAGGAAAGCAACCAAGTGGGAAGAGGCGCCGGCGGTCATTGGTGACTCCAATTGATGTTGAATTCGGTTTTAATGGTTAACTGAGCCCGGAAATCACCGTGAGCAGCTAGAGGAAGCTCCTTACATCTGGTATCAGAGCTTGGGTGGCAAAAAAGGGCTCAAAATCGGCTGATTTTCGCACCTTCAACTTAGAACCCGAATATGAAAATTTGCAATTACTCACAAACCAGAGCTCGTTGGACAAATGGAGGCCATACCCATCATCAGCAAGCCGAGGCGCTCCGGGACAGGCGGCGCGTGGGCCGCCGGCGGTGGCGCGTGGGGGGTTTTCCGGCGACGCAGTCTTCAGGTAACTTGTTTGTTTCGATCTCCTGAACGCGCTGATATACTTTGTTTTGTGTTTCAGGTTACACAGAAAAAGTTGGACGATTTTGCCCTTTGGTACGACGCCGATTGAAATTCAACAGCAAGCTCGTTTTTCTCCACTTTACGGACTCAGATAGGTCCGCTCTGGTAAATTGGCTTAATCCATTTAAATTCAGCAATAGCAAGATCATCGTGTGGGGTGATCGTTAGGTTTTGGGGTTACCGTGAAGGGGTAACCATTGCGTGTGCTAGAATTAGGATTACTTGCGTTAATTAAGTATTTGTTCTTTTAATTTAAAGTACTTGTTATTTCTTGGTGGACGTAGCATTTAGGTTT